TTCCTGCTAGAAGCTATGCCTTGAGGGTCACAAACAATTGCTTCCCTGGGGAACCCATGACAATGTCTTAGAGGTTCTCTAAGGATTGCCATACAGAACTTTTCATAACCAAGTTTTCCAAGATTAACATCTAGTCTCATACTAGGAAAAAATAGGCTTGGAAAACTGTAACAGCACCATTCCATGACATCAGGAATAGTTTTCATTTGATATAATTATTCATATAATCATTTCATATAATTATTTCAAAATAGTGAGAATGAAGAACTATTGGTATAGTACAGAAAGGCATCAGAGCATGACAAGTGGATTACTCCTCAGAGAACCAGTTTACAGCAAGACCCAAACCTTAGAAGGCTAAATAAAAATAAGCTAATAAATAATAGAGGTAGTCCAATAGAGATGGTAGGTGCACTGTAAATATGTCTCATTGTATGGGCACATAGGCTTGGTCAGATACTCTCCTTAGTCTAAATAAAGGAGACTATGAGGTCTCTGCAGCATACTTTCTTAGCAACTTAGTGAAGCTTCTAGGTAACTTCCAGGTAGCCAGAAGCTTTGTGGGTTTTCTGCTAAGGCCCAAATGTAGGACAAAACCCACAAATGAGATGCAAAAAAATATTACTCATGTAGTAAACTTAGAATGAGAATACCACAGTATACAACTGGCTCACTGAGTCCAGTTATCTGCTATCACAGGATGCAACCTTAAATAAACATTTTGATAAACATCTCATGTTTTACCTTAAAACTATTTTAGGGCTCTTTTTTGCCCCTGCTATTTTATTGAAGGGATGCTTCAGAACTGTAGAATTTCATTAGGTATTTATCTATTACTGATAACTCTCTTTATAATTTGCTTACCATGGGTGACTCCTGTTTTGTTCAGAAATTACCCAGAGCCAAGAATCTAACAGAAGTTTGATTCATTCTGCACTGAGTCCCAGTTGATCAACATTGCATAATGTGACCTTTTGCATACAGATCAGTCAATCCCAGTGGTTTATAACTCTACCAAATATAATAATGACAACAATAAAATTTAACTGACTAAGGGCTTGAAGTGTTTTAAACCAGATTATGGTTACTTTTTTCTTTATCATTGCAAATTATATTTGTAATTTATTCATATACCTAATCCACATGCACCCTTTATGTCTTGTATTTTATTTATTTACCTTTCATTGTCTATAACTTTTCTTTTGCTACTGGTCTCACTGTTTCTGGTACTACATTTGTTCCTACACTTCTGTTCAATTTAAAATCAATTCATAGGAACACAGGAAATTTTTGCATGCATCCCCAAGGTCTTGAAGTCCTGTCTCCTGCTATCACAAGCAACTCTTTTATAAGCTAATCGAGGTCCATCTTAGAATTACAGGGTACGTCTACACATCACTCTACATCTCTAGTGATGCGCTACATCACTGTACAATGCACTACAA